GCAGGCTACCGAATGTAGCCTGCCCACAGGGCAGAGTTTGGCAAACTCCCCGTGGCGTACCCAATATGCCAAATACCAGTAACAATGATGGGTCTCATTCTCCTAAAGAGCCTTGAATATAATCTCAGGGCTAGGATGAAGGAGACGTTACTGGGGCCTGCTCGAGGCAATCGAGGAATAACAGGATGATCTGTGATTGTGATTGTGAAAACAATCATCCATACATCGTGCAGTAATTTCTGATACATATATTAATAACTGTGGTAGTAGTAGGAAGCAGTGTTTGTGTTTAGCTTTTTAGTAGGTTATATCACATTTTTGAAAAGCGAGCAATAGAAAAACGTGTCTAAAGCCTGAATGTAGAGTTGCCCTGGCCTGTTTTCATGTTCTCAAGCATTTCCAACCAAGCCCACTGCATCAGCTGACATAAACTGCCCTGGCTGAGTTGTCCAATACCTCTGCACTGCTCTCCGGACGGGTGAAGTGTCCCCCACAAGCTGCACTGCAGGAATAGAAGGAGTTCTGCTCATGTGTTTCTAATTCTATCATATACATACACACATCTAATTGTGTACAAATATAGTACACACATATACATACTATACATAGGTAAAGGTAAAAGGTAAAGGCCCTCCCGTTGATCGTCGATTTGCTCGAGCGGGCCCAGTAACGTCTCCATTGGAGACTTTGTTGTTACTGTGTCTGGCATATCCAATACTCTCGGTAGCTTGCCGGGCTCTCCGAGAGGGGCGGAGGAATCGAACTCGGGTCGGCCATGTTGGCTGCGTGCAAGGCAAACGCCCTACCCGCTGTGCTATCGCTCCAGAGCGATAGCACAGCGGTAGGGCGTTCGCCTTACACGCGGCCAACTATACATAGATGTACTATATATATACATATATGTACGTGTGTGTATATGTGTGTGTGTGTGTATATATATGTAGAATTTCCAGCAGAAGCCTGGAAGAGCCAGACTGCTACTGAGACCCAAAAGACCCGTACAAAGGATGAACGTGTGTCCTGACGCCCGCGCGAGCCCTGGGCCGCCCCACTTTATAACCTCCTGCTGCTTTTCCACTCGGCTCTACCTTTCAAGGTGTTTTAATCGAGTGGTGCAGACACAGGAATGGGTCCCTAGTGACCCACCCTGGCAGCGCCACGGTCATTTGCTGGATGACTTCATTAATCGAAAGAGATGGCCCCCAAAATGGCAGGAGCGCAAGAAGCTGAGTGACTTGAGAGTCCGTTCTGCAAGTTAGGGGCACAGCATGGCGAGCGCCCAGTGGGCACTGGGCCAGCCCCGAGGCTGTGGAGAGGGCGGAGGGAACTCTAAGGGCGGGGCTGGGGTGGGAAGGAACCCCAGAACACTGGGGGAGGGAGTAGCACTGGTGGTGGGATGGGTGTTGAAATACGATATGCCTAAAACTCAACCATCAATAACTGTAAATTACAGTTCTATAATTTTAAAAGTAAAAAAGGGGGGATGGGGGTGAGACTAGGAGCCAAAAGAAGCCCCCCCCCCCCGCCCCCAAGTCCCTAAGCTGAGGTAAGAAGAACCCTAAATTAAAAGGAGGAGGGCAGGAGAAGGAACGTGAACACGGCTAAGGGTGATGTCATGGGCAAAATGGGAAATCTCCGGTAACGTGAAAGCCATGAAAATGGGGTGAGAGAGGGAGAAGCCCAAGATTCCATTCCTCTGGACCCGAGAACTTGGTAGACGGTTCTCGTGTTGAAACAGCAACGGAGGAAAAAGGAGAAAAACCTCTAAGAGATGAGTGGCCAAGCCGATATATAGAATTAACTCCTGTGTCCCTAGATACAACACTTTTGACAATCAAAAATGCAATTCTGAGCTCACTCATGATGAACTAGTTTACTATCAAAATACCATAAATAAAAAAAACCTAAAGCAAACTAATGAACCGAAACTAAATAAACATGGAAAAATTATTTCCGTGCTGCGAGACTATCTGGTCTGCTAAACTGAAATAGAAACGTTATTTCCTTTTCAAAAAAAAATGGGGTCAGGTGGCAACCCTGAATTTCTTAAAGAAAATTTTACCACTGATTGTGATGTCTGTGGCTTTGGGGGAAAACATGACCCTGAATTACAGGGGCTGTGGTTATAAACTATTATGAAGAGCTTCCAGCGTCAGACATAGTTTGAATATCTGTATGCATCACATCTTTTCACAGGACTTTGCTAAAACAGCAAGATTAATGATTTTCTTTTTTTTTTATCCACTCTGGTGTCAATAATGAATGCACTTTCTTTTTATGAAAAGATTTTAAATGGGTACAGAATTTAATATGGAATCAAAGAAGCCAGATTCACAATTTTTCTTCTTCATATCTGTGAAAAATGTACCTAAATCTGCCACCAGTGACTTCTGACCAAGGTCAAACAGATATCTCTCAAACAAGCTCTGAGACATACATACCACAACAATAGATGTGTTTTGTCATAGTTGACACAGTTTTCTCAAGCAATGCCAGAGAAATCCAGGGAGCAATTTTAGTTGCGTAAGTGTGTTACAGTGTTTGCTCTTCTCCATCATTTACTCATTTCTTGTGTGACTTGGTGACTTTCTGCAGCCAATAAAAATGCTATTAATTACAATTTTTCCCCAAATTCCTTTAATTCAAAACAGATAAAAAAATCTATTTGCGGTACACAGTAAGTAGACTTTCGGCGATGATCAAGACACAGTAATTACAGATGTCAAAGCATACTGCTGTATACCTGAAACTTAATCTTACAGACTACTGTTATCAATAAAAATAGGACAAATTTACTGGTGAAAGCTGTCTGATTCTGGACTTTTGATTTCTGCAAGACTCTTGGGTTAGTTTCGATTTGTGGTTACTTGTTCTGGCTACTGGGAGTCTGAGAATCTGTTCGTGTCTTAGAGACTGTCTGATTTGTCTGGTGTCTAGATGTTCACAGGCCCATGATCCTTTGTATTTCTGCAGCATTTGCAGTCACTAACATTATTTCCATGTCTATAGCTTTTTTCTTCACTTATTTTAGAATAGAATACACATTTTATATATTCTGGCTTAGCATTTATTGAGGAATTTTTATGTTTATCATGGTACTTGCTAATGTCCTTTCCACACTTGGCTGAGATGATCTATCATCACAGCAGACACAGATGGAGAAACCACATTGCATCTGCCGACAACTGTGGTGACGACTGCATGACAGAGACATAGAGAAACTGGCAGATTCGCCTTCTCCTCGGTGACCTCAAGGTGAGGCCATGGTCGTCATCACTGAGTTGCATCTGACTGATGAGGGAGGCGTGCGTGAGTTCAGAGTAAACCACGTGACACGCTGCCTCCTGATGGTGAAGGATCAAGAATGTGTTCTAGGAACTACGTGAATGAGCGAGGGTCACTGGCTTAATCCCTGTCACTGGCGAGGGTCACTGGCTTATGCCCTGAAGATTACAGGGGCTGGAGAGGAAGCACGTGCGGGAGGTCAGGCACTTGCCTAAGATGCAGCCAATCTTGGTCCGAACCCCGCCACATACGGTCCCCAGAGCACTTCCAGGCACGGTCCATGAGCAAGAAGCCTAGAGTGAGCCCTGAGCACAGGTGCACACGTCCCCACGTTCACAGGGAGACGCCGTGAAGCTGTGAGCTTGTGAGCACTTGAATGGTGTGGAGGCTGTAATGGAATGATGAAACTGTCCACTGAGGGTCCAGGGGGGAGGCGCATTGGTGCCCGCAGCCTGGCTTCCACAGGAGATAAAGTGCTTGTCATGAAGTCCCTCAAAAAGTGTGACAACAGGGGCTGGAGCAATAGCACAGCGGGGAGGGCGTTTGCTTGGCATGCGGTCAACCCAGGTTCGATTCCCAGCATCCCATATGGTCCCCTGAGCACCGCCAGGGATAAGTCCTGAGTGCAGAGCCAGGAGTAGCCCCTGTGCATCGCCGGGTGTGACCCAAAAAGCCAAAAAAAAAGTGTGACACATCCGCAGTATCTGAGGAGGAGGTTTGGGAAACCTTGATGGGTCTCCCTTTAGATCAGTCAAGGAGTCATAAGAGAATCTATTCTTAAAGGCATTTTAGCTACACTTATGAGAAGGCAGGTTGGGTTTTTTTTTTTTTTTTGGGAGGGGTCACACCCAGCGATGCACAGGGGTTCCTCCTGGCTCCTGCACTCAGGAAACACTCCTGGCGGTGCTCAGGGGACCATATGGGATGCTGGGAATCGAACCCGGGTCGGCCGCGTGCAAGGCAAACGCTCTCCCGCTGTGCTATCACTCCAGCCCTGGTTTTTTTCTTTAAGTAAAATACTTTTATTTAAAGAAATTTACTTTGAGAACTGTGAAGGGAAAGACGGAGAGAGAAACATGTTCGGGAGAGAATCCAGGCTCTCCGGAGTGGCAAACACAAAAGAGCTGGGGAAGGTTGTATAGTTCTATACAAATCTCCATCCGAAGGCACGGCTGAATGAACAACGGCCGTGTGCGTCATACTTTGATCATCGAAAAGTCACATGATAAAATTGGCCACCTACTTATATCTTGTCTTGGAGTGACTTTTGTGTGTGTATAAAAAGTAATTGACAGGAAGCTTAATATAATCATAGTAATTTGACATAAAATTGCAAATAGTACAAAAAAATAAAATTGTGAGTTTTGGGATGGGAGGGGTGGGGAGTGGGAGGGATACTGGGACCCGTGGTGGTGGGAAATGGGCACTGGTGGAGGGATGGATGTTTGATCATTGTATAATCGAAACCCAAGCACAAAAATTTGTAAGTCTACAACTGTACCTCATGGTGTTTCAGTAATAAAAATATAAAAAAAAATTGTTAGTTTTCAACACCAGAAGGTGAGAGTACATTGATACTGGTATTTGTTTAAAATATAAACGGAGAAAGCAAAATAAATACTAGTGAGGCTCACTGAGTTCACCATTTCAAGCAAGAGAAGTAAGGAAACTTCATGTTGAGCCAAGAAAAGACGCAGGAAGTCCAGCTCACCGACCTGACTGATCTCCCTCTGCTCCCGCACTGCCTTCTGGATGGCCTGCGAGACTTCTTCCTGGTCTCTTGCGTGCTCCGTCTTCCACAACTCCCGTTCCTCAGCGTGGATTTTTTCCAAGTTTTTCCTTTCTTCTTCAATGGCTTTTAGAACTGCATCCTTCACTGCTTCTTGCTCAAGCTTCAAAAGAAATGATGGATACGACAAAAATATTTTGGAAAAATGCACAGTATGTCCTTGAACGATACAGACTCGGGTAAAACTAAAAGACATAAAACACCGTTTCCATAAGAGGCATGGTTCTGGTATTACCATTTTCTGCATAAATTTGATGATTTCTCAAAAATGAAATATACAAATATTTTTGTGGTACTCATTTGAAAGAAACCAAGCCTTAGCTAAAAGTAGTAGCACTATAGAGTAGTAATCTTCAAAATTTTATGTCCCGAGATTTGTTCATACTCAGGTGTAGCAAGGACTTGAACATGATTGTTCTGGCTCAATTCTCCACCTTGAAACTGGCTACGCCTCAACCTGAAATGTGTATTTCTGGCAATTCTCCCCTTGAGAAGTTTGTCTTTTCCTAAATAATTCCTCTCTCTCTCTCTCTCTCTCTCTCTCTCTCTCTCTCTCTCTCTCCCTCCATCCCTCCCTCCCAAAGACACATTCCTTTAAGCAAGTTTCTTTAAATAAAACCATTTACTTCACTTAAAAAAAATCTTTTGTTCAAATATTAACACACCAACACAATAAGAGAAGACCACATTAACACCCCACTATGGTAATGAGCAGATTATCCGGACAGAAAATTACCAAGGAAACCAAGGCCGCAAATGACGAACTAAGATAGACTTAATAGATATTTATAGATAATTCCACCCTTAAACGACAGGGTGCAATCGCATATTTTTTTCAAAATGTATAAGGGTATTATTAAGGTAGATAATATATATTTAATTAAAAAACAAATCGTGCCAATGAAATTTTAATACTGGTACATTATAGTCCTTTCTGACATAAGTATATCTTTTATGCATAGCTCATTTGTTTGCTTTGGGGGGCAGTCAGATGTCAGGGATCACCCCTTGCTCTGTGCTCGGGGCCACTCCAGAGCCAATTCGAATGCTGGAGTAGCTTTGAGCAAGTCATGCCCCCGTTTCCCGCCTCTACATGCATACTCCTGACAGACATTTTAAAGAGAATCTGAAACTCAAATCGCTATTCGGGGGGGAAACGTCCAAACTTAAGTGCATGAATTTAAAAACAACAGCTGAAAATGAACAAAGAATCAATGTACCCCTAGAATTTTATTTCTCCAAAGAAAAGATACTTCTATGGAACATAAACAGTTAATGAAGTTGCTCTGTTACTGTAACACTTGTAGCACTGTTCATAGATTTGCTCCAGTGGGCACCAGTAATGTCTCCATTGTGAGACCTATTGTGACTGTTTTTGGTATATCAAATACACCTCGGGGTGCTTGCCAGGCTCCGCCGAGCGGGCGGGATACTCTCAGAAGCTTGCTGGGCTCTCCCAGAGGCGTGGAGGAATTGAACCCAGGTCGGCCATGTGCAAGGCAAATGCCCCATCCGCTGTGCTTACAAAAAATAAAATTTAAAAAAAGCATTTTTAATTAGAAGACACCGAGACACTGAGTTCTGCGGCTCTTGCTGATGGTACCGCATCTCGTCAAGTCACCAACAAAAGGGACACGTTTGCTGCTATCACAATCAACCCTGTTGGAAATGTCTTAACTATCAGCATGTATAGAAATTCAAGATTCTGGCTTTTAAAGCTCAAACTTTATCACTGGCAACAGAAACTATCTTTTTTTAAGGTGCTTGTCTTACTCTGTTTACTTTGGCAGACATTTTCTCTAAAATAAAGTCTGTATAACCCTGGTTGTTCAGTGAAATTGTGTTTCATGAAAAAAAATCATAACTACGTTAGCTGCTGCAACTCAAACACAGGAATTCTCAAGAAATCCCTCCTGCTCTGGTGTAATGGAAAGCCCATCACCGGCCACCTCTGACCCTGGAGAGTGACGGTTTTCTTCTCAGGGTCACTCCTGGTAGTGCTGGGGACTGAACCCAGGTGGGTACAAGTAAGGCAAACACCTTACCTGCCGGACTATCACTCAGGCTCCATCTAATTGCAAGTTTTTAAATAACAAGATAAAAACCATCCACAGCAACCATTAAAGTTGTTTGGTATAATAATGAGATGTACATACAAGACTTGAAGTATTTGTTCACTAAATTTAGGTTCAACCCGCCAAATCAAAAGCTAGTGTAACATTAAATATACGTATACCCACAAATACACGGAGCATATGTACTTAAATCAGTTATTTCAAAGCTGACTTTAAAAATCTTCTATCTAGATAAGTAAATAATTACACACACAACTTGAAAAATGCATATGAAATACCAAATGAACAGTTAAGCATTTCCAACATATCATTCAATTAATCATCTCTATAAAATATTTTAATGTCACTATAATCCTGTATGAAAATTTAATAAGAATATGAAAGATTAAAATTAATCTTATGACATCAATATATAAAAGAATGACTATACTAATAATAAACATTTGAAATTCCACTTTCTTACAAAGAAGCCCATGAAGAGAGACACACATACCTTTGCAGCAGACACTAATGCTTCTTTGTTCCTTTGCCTTTCTTCTTCCAAACATTTTTCTAATATTTCCTGCGAATGATAAGGCATGTGGATGGACACTAAGTATGTTGTTTGAGGCACCAGAACACATTCTTTCCATGCTGAGTAACCCGCGGGCCTCACCTTCTGTTCCTGAGACTGCTGAACCAAAGCTTCCTTGATTTTGTCCTTTAAGAGTTCCTTCTCTTTATCTAGCATTTCAAGAAGTCTCTGATGCTACAAGAGAAGATAACTGGATTATTATTGTGACTCAGGCAGATAATCCACAAAAATAGTTGTTTAAGTTCACTTGCCCTGAAGAACACGTAATCACCGTGGATACAATAGGAGCTTTGCTCAAAACTTAGTGTCCCAAACCATGGAACCCTCCGTTTTGCAATTAGTCAAGAGAGAGATTGTCTTAGACCCTTCAAACTCGACAAAGTATATGAGAATAAGAAAATGCCTAAATTTATTTTCTCCCAACTAAATTTGGAAAAATTTTTCTCTAAAATAGTTATTAGCCTGCCACAAAAGAAACAAAGAACTGATGCCCGTTGAAAAACAGCTACCAGGGTTGATCTACGTAGTTTTAAGCATGAGTAAATGGGGCGATTTATTGCTGTTCTTATTCCAAGATTTTACCATAGATTCAAAAAACTCTATAAATCAAGAATTATGAAAACTTTCCAAGGAATATTATAGCTAATATAAATTTGTGTGTTGATTTGTATTCCAGAATGCTAGTTTGGAGCTGGTACACACACCCAGAGCAAATCATTATGGATTAGGGAACTTGGGGGTCTGACTGGGGTTTTCAAAGAACAAAATGAATTGGTGGGCTCACTATCTTCAGTATAGCCAAGTCAGGTACTTGTTCTGGAGCAGTGTTTAGTGGGGGGGGGGGGGGGGGGAAGAACTAAGAAATCACATTCCCACATACCTTGGTTTTTCAGTCAGTTAGTAAAACAAATTAGATCCTCCGATTTAGAATGTCATTACATAGAAGCCACCTTAAAACTGAACTTAATCTGACACCCAGTGACATAAAACTGATACAAATTTGTTTTTTAAAGTTCTCATGACATAACACTGCTTTTATGACCAAATAGTGGCCAAAATTATCAAATAGTCATGTCTATTAAGAAAACCCCTTATTCCTATTTTAATACCTTTCATCTTTATTTTTCTAAAAAGAAATCACAAGAATATGTGTTTTTTCTTGAATAATTGATACTGTATGATGTACAAGAACTTAATTTTATTTTCATGCACAAAGAATGTCAAAGATTCATAAACAATACCTAATCCTATTTAAAATAACCACATGTGAAACTCAGAAAAGATAACACACCTTCCATTAATCAGACTCACAAAGGAAAAAATCTAATTTTTATAAAAGACTAAACAAATCCTATGGCGCCTTTGGGATAGAGTAATTTTAATACAAACAGAATAAAATTATGAGAATTAAAACACAGAAAGAATTTCCAGAGCCAGAATACTTTGAAAATGATTTCTCATTAAGAAAAATTGTTTTGTTTCAGACTAATGGAAATTATTGAGGAATTTAAAGAAGGTCACATTTCTGTAGCCATCCAACAAGAACTACTCAAAGAGGGTACACTAGCCAAGATGACAATGCATTTCAGAGAATTCCTGAGTAGAATTTTAAAAATTGACAGCATGCTACCAGGAGATGATTTTTGAGTTTTTCTGCGAGAGCAAAGCAAAAATGACCACATAAAAATCATCACACATAAAAATGTATCCTGAATAAAATTATCTACTTGAGAAAATATAATTACAGATTAGCTACTTTTCTCATCCAGATAAAAATTTGCTATTTTGAACACTTAAAACACCCAGATAGTTAAACGAGCTTTTCCATACATCACGAGCACAAAAAAGCCGCACATTAAAGCACATTAAAGTTTCCCCCTTTTCAGATGAGTCCGGGAACCAGCAGCTAAGGAGACTTTCCAGTCTCTCAGTCACTTCAGCAATGTCCATAAACGTGCAGACAGACTTGAAGCCACGTACGTAGATAAAAGCAGCCCAGTATCACCTGGTTCGTATCTAGAAACTTTAAGTTCTTATTCCAAGTAGAATGTCAGGTAAGAGCTCACATCCGCTCGAATTTTAAAGAATCTGACTCATCCCCGCTCACGTCGATTTTCTTTTCTGAAACCGTATTACCATCATTTCCTGAACAAAGGCTATTGAATCTCAGGAGGGACGATTCCGAAACGTGCTGGACGGCACGGGGCAAGCACAGGTATGAACCTAAACACGCTTCATTAGGAAAGCGAAGAGCCTAACAGAAACAAACCGTTCAGTAAAAGAGACGTTTTCTAACATATGCTCATGAGAAAAACCCTTAAAGAAGCCTGGCTGACGCCCGGCACCACGTGTGACCCCTGCCCGCAGAGCCAGGAGGTGGTCAGACCACTGCGGAGTGTGGCCCCAAAACCGAGAGAGAAAAGGAGTAGTGAAAATCACCCCCATTTCCAGGACCCAGAGACAATCATTAGCTTCTAGGCCATGCATACAACTATGTCGGGCCGAAACGCTTCATGTAAATGACATGTCAAAGTCCAGTGCCAGGGATGAGCACCCCCATACCCGGCATGTCACCTACCTCGAGCCACCTCTGGACAGCTCCTAGAATCCTGAACCCTACAGTTGCATTTCTATTTGTTTTTTTTTTGGGGGGGGCACACCTTGAAGTGCTCAGAGCTTACACAGGGGGCGCTACCGGGTGCTAGGATGGAGACTGGCCGGGCAAACACCCGAGACACCTGCTGGACTCTCTCCAGCCCCAATACTGATGGACAAATGTCACAAGGCATCTGCTTTAGTAGATGGCACCATTTATAATTTACTATTATCTTATTTACCCAGGGCTGGAGCGATAGCACAGCGGGTAGGGCATTTGCCTTGCACGCAGCCGACCTGGCCAACCCGGGTTCGATTCCTCCGCCCTTCTCAGAGAGCCCGGCAAGCTACCGAGAGTATCTTGCTCGCACGGCAAAGCCTGGCAAGCTCCCCGTGACGTATTCGAGATGCCAGACACAGTAACAACAAAGTCTCCAATGGAGACGTTGCTGGGCCCGCTTGAGCAACTCGATGAACAACGGGAGGACAGTGGACGGTGCTACAGTGCCTATTTACTCACATCTATGTTTGCGATATTTCACTTTGCAAGACTCTTGAATTCAAGGTATGAATCTCTGTGAGCCTGCTCAGTTACAACTTTGGGAAAAATTATTAGGAGTGGAAGTCATTGCTTCTTAAGATTAAGCGTAATCTCTAGCTTGACACATACCCTCAAACAGAGAGGAAGTGCCCGACGAAGGAGATTATCCTCGAGAACGAATTATGGTCTGGAATCACACATAACTCGGGGAATGTTTACCCTGCTGGGACTTGGAATCCAGCCCTGATCTGTTGTTCCTTTTAGCATCCTCTTTCAAAATGCTATTTCTGTTACGGTTGCAGTTATTCTATTCTCTTTTCCTGAATTACTGGGTCATAGTTTTCTAGAGTGGCAACGTCTCTCTACTTAAAAAGTCTTTGTTTCCTCACGCTTCCTTTCTGTTGCAATGTTTTTGTCATTTTGGGGAGACTCTACCACCTTTTAGGAAGGCTTTCCTGTCCACTTGTACTAAAATAGACATTAAAACACCACAAGAAAATTCTGCACGGGTGCGTGAGTGTCGGTGTTCGCTGGGGATTCCCAGGCCCAGGTCTGGGCCTTTCAATCTCTCAATCTGTGACCCTTTCTTCAAGAACGAAAAATCCCCAAACTTTCTCGAGGTGTGCTAACATCCAGCATTCTAGATTCATTTGGTTAAGGAGGGGAAATACTGAGCTTCTGATTGTGTTCTCACAATTTTCGCTAGTTTTATAGGAAAGCAAACTTACAAGGTTATTTAACACTTCACACTGGACATTTACCCAAAGAGTTCACTTTTAAAGAATCTGCCAGATTGTCTAAAACACTTATGTGACCTCCTCCCAGCATACATGATTTAATTTTGCTTCTCCCCGAGGCCTACTGACTTTTGCATATAAGCTGCGGGCAGTGTTTTTAACCTCCCAGTAGATGTGTACAGAGTGTTTTGTTGTGGTTTTAATTTGAATTTCCTTAATGAATAAATATTTGGTATATTTCTACATGGGATGAAGATATTTTCTATCTACATAAGCTTCCTTGATGAATTAACTGTTTATGTTTGGCTACTTAAAAGTTATGGAAATAAGGAAGTTCATGAGCCAATATTAAGAGCACCTATAGAGTAGTATTTTGGACACTGGAAAAAAATGAAGAAATTCAAAAAAACATAAAAATTCCAAGACTAAACCAGGAGGGAAAAGAAAATCTAAATAGAACCTCACTAGTAAGGAACTGAAACTATACTCAAAAGCCCTGCACCCCCACAAAGCAGAGGTGCCTTCACTGATGAGCCAACTCAACAAAGAGAGAACACCCACCCTCCAAATGCTTCCAATAGACTCGAAAGGATGAAAAAACTCCCAAATACAAGTCACGAATTCCACATGACCCACACCTAAAAAAAAAAAAAAAAAAAAAAACCAAAGATCAACATTTTTGATGGGCATATACGAAAAAGGTCTCAAACAATACATGAAAAGAATGATGCATCATGATCAAGGGGGATTTATTCCATAGAACAAGCATTATTCAAAATTCCCAATCCATAAGTGATAATATGCCACAGTATCCAAAGACCCAAACATACGACCATCTCAATAGACACAGGAGCATCCGACGGGATCTGACACCCATCTCTGATAAAACCCATCAGAACGCCGCAGAAGGGACCTGCCTCAACATATGAGAAACCACACAACGATGATATTCAGTGCTAAGATCAGGACAAAAGGGGAATGCTCGTACTCTTCACTATTTCCTTTACAGCACTAAGGATGGAACAAAATAATTTGACAAGAAAATGACATAAAATGAAAGTTGAAAAGGAAGTTGAAAAGGAAAAGGAAGATTTCATAAAAGTTGAAAAGGAAGATTCACAATTCAGTATGTCCAGACACCAGGAGTGACCCCTGGTTGCAGAGCCAGGAGGAAGCTCTCAGCCATCCCGACGATGGCCTCACAACAAAAACAAACTAAAAGAACTGTTCCCCCCTCCTGCACCGTCCTAGCCGCAGAATCCAAGGGAAGGAGGCTCCGAGGACCTTTGTGACATAACTCA